GTTTCTCAGAGTCTGAGGGTCCTTTAGGTGCTTTTTTGTAAATTCCAAGTGTGTTTTCATGTGTCTTCATTGAGGAGAGGATTGAGTTTGGCCACACCGCCATAAAGCACAGATTGGTGGAGTGTTGCAGCGATGTTTGTCCTTCTGTAAGTAAGTAAGTAAGTAAGTTTTAGATTGTGGAAGACCAACATATAACGAATTACAATAATCCAGGCGTAGGTTTCTCCTATCTCCACATATGGGAGATATCATGGCATATATCATGGAGCTCAACTAGAGTGACCATCAGCTTCTTGGTTACCACTCTAACCAAAGCCCTTCTCCATCAGTTGCTCAGTTTGGCCAGGAGGCCAGCTCTAGGAAGAGTCCTGGTTGTTCTAGAAATCTTCCATTATGGATAATGGAGGTTTGATGCAGATGTGTGGTTTGATGCAATCCTGTCTCTGAGCTCTACAGGCAGTTTTTTATTTACCTCAGGGCTTGGTCTTTGCTCTAATATGCATTTTCAGCTGTTAGACCTTTTATTAAGACGTGTGCCTTTCCAAATCATACCCATTCAATTGAATTTGCCACAGGTTAGCTTCACTCAAAGTGTGAACAAAAACAAAATGAATGCTCCTGAGCTAAATTTTAACTGTTCCAGATAAGTTTTTTATCTTTAATAAATTTGCAAAGATGTTAAAACCTGTTATTTGTTTTGTCATTATGGTGTATGGAGTGTAGATTGATGTGGAAAAAAAGTAATTTAAAGCAGTTTAACATAAGTCTGCAACATAACAAAACATGAAAAAAATTTATTTATGAAATGAATTTATTCAATGAATGAATACTTTCGCAAGGCACTGTATATATCACACAGCGGGACTCGCTGTCACTGCTAGACTTGTGATATCGACTACCCAGCTACAGATGTCTATCTGTGCATCTTAAAGACTACAGTAGAGTGTGTTTTCATAGCTTCTGTCGTGGATCATATCTCTATGGATGATAACTAGACTGGTTTTAGCTGATAAGATTCGCCAAAGGCTAAGCAAAGCGCCCAGTGAACCTCCTCAGCAGTGGTCTTTCTTCTGATCTTGTATTTAAATAAAAAACCTATTATACAGCAAAAATGCAGTGCCGTGGGATTCGCATTGGAAACAGAGTCTACAGTGCTACTCTGCTGGTAGCAAACAAATGTTATTTTAAGAAAGATTTTAATTTATGTGTAGTTAATTAAATCTCTTGTTGTTTGTGTCCTTTTGAGGTGCTAGATGGGCCTAGATGAAGAATTTTGTATGTTAAGCAAAACTGTCAAACCCTCAAAGCCCTGTAGCACATTTGAAATCAAGCACACAGTTGCTTAGCTTAAGTAAACAGATGAATGAGTAAAATGTGCTCTGCTGAGCCCTAGTTTTGTGCTAAACTTTGAAACTGACTTTTACTTGACTTTAAAAGTGTACAGTATCCATTAACTAAAAGAGAGAATTTGAGATTAATAGTGATAGAACTGTGATTTTCTTAATTTTCATTGTAAACGTCACCATTTTTGGTATTTTTGTGTCTTTACAGACCTCACAAATAGAGAGGAGATCCATGCCAACAATGGGATACATCACGCACACAGTCAGTGCACCAAGTCTGCATGGAAAAACGGTAAGACTTCCATAGAGAGCACATTTTTTCAGACAAACTATCTAGGAAACGTAGGCGATCTGCTTGGTAGATGACATTTTGGCCACCAGGAGCTTGTTGCTTTCTAGTTTTGAGACAGTGAGTTGAGCTGTGTCATTAAAGACATGCAGTTACAGTTCGCCTTAGTCCACTTCTATTGGCCAAATTTCACAACATCTTGGCGCCGCCCTGGTGGTCACCTCCTGAAGTGCTTTCTCTTCCGTCTCGCCGCTGTCCTGCAGCCGGAGGAGTTGACCCTGCTGCTCATCCAGCTCAGGAGACACCGGGCCAAGATGGCCAGTGTGCGCAGCGACACATTCACACACCTGCAGAACCAGCACAACGGCCTCTCAGGCCCCAGTTTGCAGGTTAGAGGGTCACATTTCCCCCTCAACCCACCCTGAGCCCCCCTCTCATCTGAGCATACCATGCCCTCCTTTCCTAACTCCCATACCGTGCTCCTCTTACTATCGTACGCTGTTGGTTGTAGTTATGATTGCGTTGGTTTGGTGTTAGCTCTCCGTTAGCATGGAGTCTGCAGTAGAATGTTACCGCTTGGGCTGCGCAATTTGATGTAACAGTCTGTTTTGTGGTTTTGAAGATCTTTTCTTCCACATTTTGCATTTTTTGGACTTTTTTTTGTAGATTCTTCCTCTTGTATTTTGGATCGTCAGATTGCTCCTCAGATAACAGCATGTTGCTTGTTGACTTGCCTGCATTCACATGACTGAATGTTTCCATGAACTGAAAACGTATTAAAAACATCACTGGTTCACTTGTTTATGTGCAGTTTTGGATATGAAATGCCAGAAAAGTACACAAGAATTAGTGTAAACATTTGATAGAACAGACATAAGCTGTTACCCGTTCTACTCTCTAGATCTGTCATTACATAAGTTACAGCAGAGGTCCCCAACAACCGGGCCGTGACCCAGTACCGGGCTGTGGAAGAGTTGCTATCGGGTCGCAAGAACGTTCTGGGGAAAAATGTGTACAGATATGACACTTTGTTATTTATTGTGTGTTAATGATTGTTATAAGTATTCTGTATTTTTATTGTATGCGATTGCTATGGCGATTGCTATGGAGTATCAATTTGACGATTTCATGTAAATTAAATGTTCAATTAGTAAATGAAAGATTGCTCTGGTCTGTCATATATTTATTAGGGGTTACACAGATTGTAGTTGATCCATGATACGTACGGACAAGAAGAAGAAACTAAAGAAAACTCAATTCGTTACTCACGAGTCACGCGCTGTTCTCGCACACACCCAAAGCACGCACAAGCATAGAGACTTGTTTCAGACAGCGCGGAAATACCAAGTTGATTAAATAAATAAATATATATCTATATATATCTATATATAGACATTCTTCAGATTTTGGTAGCCCAAAATGAATTTAAGTAGCCCGAATAAAAAAACAAAAAACAAGAAGACATCGGCTGAACTTCACTGCGGACAAATCAGCATGATTAAAAACTTCAATGATTGCTTTTTTTCTTCAAATAACAAGTCAAGAGAGTAGGAATGCAACGGATCACAAAACCCACGGCTCAGATCATATTGCATTATCATATCAGATTTTGAGTAACAGATCGGATCATTTTGCAGATGAGCAAAAAAATATGGTTCTTTATTATTTAAATAACAGAATACTACTTTGATACCACAGCAAAAACTAGTAGCATATAGGGATGTAACGATTCACTCAACTCAGGATGCGATGCGATACGATTCACGATACTGATTTCACAATACAATTTTCTCACAATTTTTCTTTTTAACAAAATGAGATTTACGGCAAATTATAAATGAAAAGGTGTCCTTTTATTATTTCTCCAACAAAATGATGCACATTTCTTTGTGAAATTGAAATGTCAAATAATAAAACTAACTTGAAATTTCAAAACAAATCCCAAATCAAATAATTAAATAATACAAATAAAATAAATCTCTTCATATAAACAAACTAATGCTTTGGCTGTGCTTTTTCCATTTAAAATCAGAGGCAACCACTGCATTTTAATCACGAGCCAAACAAAGATGCTAAATACATGTTATTTAGATTGCAATTAGATTGTATAATTTCGAAATTT